AAACGAAATTCCAATCCGGTTTATTAGTCAATATTTCAGAAGAAATATATTAAACCTAGAGAAGAAATTTCTTTGTTCTAGGCACAGAGAAAGGTAAAAAGAAAGAAAGAAAAAAAAGAATCAAAAGAAAAAGAGGTTGAATGTCCAACACACGCAGCTCCTGAGCAGTCGGTCCAGCGCTTTCCTTGTGACTGTCCTGAACAGGCTTCTGGGCAGCATTTGTGGCCCGGTCGACGCTGGCTGTTGTTAACATTTAGCGTATCCGTATTGATCCTCATGCAATATGCCATTGACGAAAGCCAGGCATAGGTAGCATTATCATGGTTCCTTTTTTGGACTCTGCGTCTTGAATAGAATCGCTTTACAATAAGCATACTAACTAATGATCAAATATTCATACATGATATCGGGAAATAAGTATCATATGTATGTTAGTGTGTCCATTTAACTGTCTCGTTTAATATGCAACATGAATGAACTGATAAGAAATACTCATGTGGCTCTTACGGAAGCAAAATGTATTTTGATATAATGGTCTAAAACTAAAACGAAAATGCTCAGTGCAGCTCTATAGGTAGCCGATAAAACATAGCCAAAATCCCCATACTCATAGAATTTGAAAGCTATCATATAAGACCAAGCATTTCCGCTAAAAATCTCGGAGTAAACATAGATACGTGACTTCTGAGGTACGCATGGACAACATTTACAAACATGTGGACACCAACATACCTTAATCACATAAACAAAATCCCCACTTATATGAGAACTAACCCTCAATCCCTCTTTGGTTAATGCCTCTACAAACAATTGGTAACAAAACAGGCATTCATACAGATTAACAATCTGCGCGCCAAGAGATCATACACAGAAACAGGGTCAAGCAAATCCGAGGACCCGTGATATGGAACAGCCTCCCATTGAGTATTAGAAACAATCTCCCAAGCTAATTACTTTCAAAAGGAAATGAAAGGAGCATCTTTTAAATTGACAGCATCTTCAGGCATTTGTTTGCAAAACCAAACTGTGCACCTCTATTCCTAATGACGTGACCATCATTTTATTTCATAACTCTCCTACTAATGTAATTGATATGCTTCTACTATAAAACTATGCTGACACTATGTAAAAAGAACCATTGAAATTAATGGAATAAAGCCTTTTGACTTTGACTATCTATCTATCTATATATACACATATATACTTACAATATACGTATATGTATATATCAATATATATATGTGTGTCGGTATATATGGTATATGTATTGGATTTCGAAGCTTGTGGCCCAGGGATCGAATCTCCCTCACGACGGTTGCTACAGAAGGGGCATGGACTCGGCAGTATAGAGAATGCTTTGCAACCACAAGGTACCGGGATCGTATCCAGTCAGAAACCTCTGCACTGGTTCATTCCACAGCTTAGTACACATGTTCCTCTCAAAACTGCTCCTTAGGTGTGCGTATGTATCATAATTTGCACATAAGCCATTCCATGGAAAACGAAACGCAACGGAATTCCGATCTAAATTTATTGGTCAAATGACACCTGTGCATTTCAGAGATGAGATGTTAAACCAACAGAAGAAAGTTCGTGACACCCACAGGAAAAGTTCGTGTCATGTGCCATGCACTCGCTGGGACATGACTCAGACGGGCACACAGATTTTCCTTTGGGAGCAGCCGTCTGTGCAGCATTTCTTGCCCGGTGGACACTGGTCGTCGTGGTAGCAGTACTGCAAGAGAGGAGGGAGAGTGCGTGAGGGATGACTCGCTTTCCTCCGTTCGGCTCCAAGGAAGGAGAGGAAGAGGAATTACAGGAAAGGAAAGATGCGCGTATGTAGAGAAACTTTGCATCTTCAGAATGACGTACTTTTGAAGTTACTAATTTGGATATTAGTTGAAAATTATTAAACCCCATTCCTATCTCTCTAGAAAACTTTTTTTTCACGGTAGTCGTTTTTAATTGCATGCAAGAATCAGCTACCATGAATTTGCAATATGAACATACTGAACCAAGTGTTCATATATATATATATATATATATATATATATATATATATATATATATATATATATATATATATATATGTATATATTACCATTATGAAATGATGGCTATTTGTGAGTGTCCAGTCTCTTAATAATGTATTATTAATCATCATGATGATGAATTCGTAAGTTAATAAATCTTGAATTATGCGCTTGACAGCCTAATATTAACAAATAATTTACAAGAAAAAAGAAACGTGTAATGCTGAAGCCAAAATAAAAGTAAACAAACCATAAAAACAAAAATAAAACAAAAAACATTAGCTTGAATTCATCGGCATTTATCCTCACATTCACCCGACTCCGGCAGCTGGAGCGTCCGAAATCTCCGAGCCGAGCGGACGAGGTAGCGAAGAGGAGCCGGAAATACTTACGGGGAAGTTGCCGTCGAAGAAGTCGTAGCAGGAGCGGGGTTGGGGCAGCGGGGGGAGGCGGGGGATCTGTTGGAG